CTGCAGCTGGACCAAAGGCCTGGGTCCCAGGTGCCAGAGGAAAACCGGTGCCGGCAGCCAGGGGAAGGAAGGCCTATTGCACGAATCTCTTTGTGCAACGGGCCTCTAAAATATATATATAATTTTATGTATCATATTATAGAGAGCATTTTATTAGTATATAATTATTTTATGAGCTTAAATTGATGGCATTTACATTACAATCAAGAAGAAAATTACATTCACATTATAATCAAGGAGAAAATTGCAAGGAGATGATTGCAATCTGTTGTGCTATCAGAGTTAGTATTTTTGGTTTCTTTGCATATGTCTTGGTCAGAATAGGTTAGGCTATGCTGCCATAATAAATGATCCCAACATTTCAGTGGCATGTTACAAGGGTTAATTTCTCACTAACATCACCACCACTCACATTTTATTGTCAGATCACATGGTCAAGCCCGATGTCAACAAGGCAAGGAAATGGGATCCTATCCAAGGGAGAGGCAGTGAATCCTCACAAACAACAATACAGCCTGACACAGCAAAACACTGCAGAACTCTGGATTAACAGAAAGATCAGGAGGAATGATAAAAGCTCATCTGGCAATCTCAAGGACTCTAATTAAATGAACTCCCAAGCTTGCAATAAAAATGAGAAAGCTTGTTTCAAAGTTGAATCACCAAGCACTGAGCTTATTACTTATCATAAATATAAAAGTCAGACTAGCAGCACCCACCTTAGAATAAGCATTACATTTTTTATGTCATCATCACCATGTGATGTGTTAAGCATTCACTTTTTATTGCCCAACTGACTCTTACCCTGTGATAAGAGCGTGTTTCTAGAAGATATACCTGACCTTGGCTCCTGCATTCAATTGAATGCAGAGGGCACGTGCTTCAGGGGAGAACCCACTTGGATAAGGTACCAGGCCTGGAATTTTCAATAAGAACCAGTGCAGAGATACAGTCTTCCTCATCAGTCAAGAAAATTACGGCAGGAAAATTCACCCCCAGGACGGTTCTAAAGCCTGGCTGGCTAGTTATCATGTCCAAATACAAAAATAGAGAGGGCTTGGAAATCCCAATACCTGGAAGCGTCAGGCCGATAAGGTAAGTGGTAAAAATGATAACAAAGAGCAATTGACCTTCAGATTCATGGTCAGCAGGCTGTAGGGAAGGGAGGAGACAGATAAATGTAAAGAATCTGCAGCACTTGTAAAGGGAGCAGATGCTGTCCAGCTGTTGCTATGTAGAAAAAAGCCTTATGAGATACCACCTCACACCGGTCAGAACAGCTATTATCAACAACACAGGAAATAACAAGGGTTGGAGAGGTTGTGGAGAAAAAGGAACCCTCACGCACTGCTGATGGTACAGCCACTATGGAAAACAGTATAGAAGCTCCTCAAAAAATTAAGAACTTGACCCAGTTTATCTACCTGAAAAACTCGAAAATATTTATTGGCAAAGATTTATGCACCTGTATTCATTGTGGCATTATTCATGGTGGCCAAGACCTGAAAACAACCAAAGTATCCTTCGATAGAGAATTGGATAAAGAAGATGTGGTACATAAATATCACGGAATACTATTCAGCCAAAAGAAAAGATGAAATATTGCCATTTGTGACAATGTGGATGGGCCTTGAGAATATCATGCTAAGCGTAATGAGTCAGAAAAAGCTAAGAACCATGTGATTTCACTCAAATGTGGGATATAAAGCTCATAGACATACACAACGCATGATGGTTACCAGAGGGAAGGGGCTAGGAGAGGGGTGGGCAAAAAGGGGGCCACGAGGGCCACAATGGGTTCTTAAACTGGACCGGAGGGCCGGAACAAAACACAACGCATGATGGTTACCAGAGGGAAGGGGCTAGGAGGTAGTAAAGGGTAAAGGGGGCCAAATATATGGTGATGGAAGCTGATGTGACTTTTGGGTGGTGGGCACACAAGGCAATATACAGAGTATGTATCATAGAAACGTACACTGGAAACCTATGTGATCTTATTAACCGTTGTCGCCCCAATGAATTTAATTTTAAAAGTTGCAAATCAAATTTGTATGTGAAATCTGCTGGGTTTAAAATGCTGGTACTAATTCAAAATTCTGAAATGCAGTGCGGGCCAAGTGAGACACTTTCGTAGGTTGTGTTTGGGGTTATCGGTCTGTAATCCCTGAGATCAGTAACCATGGGAAAGATCTTGGAAGAGGGAGGAAAAATCTGGAAGGCCTAAAGGCCTAGAGGAGGAGTCCTGAAAGAAGGACCATGGGATGGGGCAGAGGTGGGGGAGGAAAGGGGTGTGGACAGCTGCCAGAGGGAGAGGGACCAGAGGGAAAAGACACAGATGGGATATTGAGAAAGTTCTGTGATCTGTGACCTCTTCATTCTTCTTTTCAGAAAACCTTTAGGAAAATGGACTTTCAGCATGAGTGCTTCTGGAGTCAGATTTGTGCTCTCTTTGTAGTACATTTTTTTGCATTGAAATCTCTTCCTTTCTCATTCTCTCATTCTCTCTCTCTCTCTCTCTCTCTCTCTCTCTCTCTCTCACACACACACACACACACACACCTAGAATGCTAGACACCAAATTGATAGCAGTGGATATCTTGTGGTGTGACTGGTAACTTTCACTTCCTATTTTAAACATTTATGTGTTTGCATTTTGTTTTTTTACAACAGGACATATTTGTTCATAATCAGGAAGAAAAATAACATTCTGTATTTCCATTTTGAAGAAAAAAAGGAAGAAATGAATGAAGCCTAGTAGTTTGAGCCCGCCAGATGGACAAAAAAAGGAGTTATTTAATGTTTTGTTGCCTAAATTAGAGAAAAGCGAGCAGAGGAGGAAGGCAGGACAGCAGGGAGGAAGGATGGAGGGAGACCGACTGGCGGCTGGTCCCACTAGGGAGTTAGGACAGAGGGACTGCGGGCCTGGGTTGGGGAAGCAGCCCTCTGGCGCCAGGCAGTTCTGAGGGAGCAGCTGGGGGTGTCAGCATAAACCCCGGAGTCCTGGCCAGTTTGGAGTGAGTTAATTTAGAGATGGGGGAATTGGGTACCAGTTGTGTTGGCCACCAGCACAAAGCTACATCCCCGTTTCTTACTCTCAGTGAATCTTCACACTGCAAAGTATGCCCACAGCTTCTGTCCTCACATGTTAAGAATGTGTGACTGGCTATAGTCAGGAGCAAGACTTTTAGCCTAAGAGGGGGGATTTAGAATCAGGGTCCAGGCCCAAAGGACCTGAGAAAAAGTGTAGCACGCAAAGCCAACCCTTCCTGTCAGCCATCAGTTTGGGCGATAGCTTGAGAGCTGTCCCGACACCAGGCACGGGGGCTTGTGTTCCACGCTGGGGATTCAGAGACAGGAGGACAGGATTCTCCCCGGACATCCTCTTAGGCAGGAAACAAGAGCCACCGTTGAGGAGGCGGCTTGAGGTCAAGAGAGAGCACTTGTGACCACAGTGCTCTTTCACTTGCTGTCCATGTGACGGTGGCCACGTGACAAACCCGTCTCCTCTGTTTCCCATCTAAAAGAGGGATGATAAGCTCCTGGCTTTTAGGGTTATTGCGAGGATGAAATGAGATAATGCTTCTCAAATCCTCAGCTGAGGGGCTGGCATTCAGTGCACCATCTGTGTTGCTATTACTCTGCACAAATGTGGTCAGGGGAACCCACAGGGGGCCAGGGAAAGCCACAAAGGAGCATGAAGTGGGTCGTTATGG